TAGAATCTGGGTCTGATCCCACCCCCTCCCTTTTCTCACATAGAATAAGGGCTGAAGTCCTTTCAATGCCCCTACCTGGCGGGACCTCCTTCCACTTCCCATCTGTCTACTCTGAGCTCAGGCTACACAAGCCACCTCAGCCCCACTACAGCTCCTGCCCCAGAGTACCTGCTCCCACTGTCTGGCCCTGGTGTGCACCTGCCTCCCTTCATTCCAGGCACTTCTTTGTTCCCAGTCTGAGTTCCCCCCAACACTTATCCCATCTGAGTTAAATTAACTATTCACTGGGTGGTTCATCGTCTGACTCACCTCAGCGGGAATATCAATTTAATAAAAACAGATTTTCTTTTCTTTTCTTACTTTCTTTTTCTTTCTTTTTTTTAAATTCAAACCACAATCAGAATAAACTTTCTTTTTTTTTCTTAGACGGAGTCTCACTTTGTCACCCAGGGGCTGGAGTGCAGTGGTGCGATCTCTGCTCATTGCAACCTCTGCCTCCTGGGTTCAAGCAATTCTGCCTCAGCCTCTCGAGTAGCTGGGAGGACAGGCGCACATCACCATGCCCAGCTAACTTTTGTATTTTTAGTAGAGGCAGGGTTTTGCTATGTTGGTCAGACTAGTCTTGAACTCCTGGCCTCAAGCGATCTGCCCACATCAACCTCCCAAAGTGCTGGGATTACAGGCATAAGCCATCGCACCCAGCCTCTTTTTATTTTTTTGAGATGGAGTCTTGCTCTATCGCCCAGGCTGGAATGCAGTGGCATGATTCCGGCTCACTGCAACCTCCGTTTCCCAGGTTCAAGCGATTCTCCCACCTCAGCCTCCTGAGTAGCTAGGACTACAGGTACCCGCTGATGTGCTCAGCTAATTTTTGTATTTTTAGTAGAGATGGGGTTTTGCCATGTTGGCCAGGCTGGTCTCGAACTCTTGACCTCGAGTGATCCGCCCAACTCAGCCTTCCAAAGTGCTGGGATTACAAGCTTGAGCCACTGTGCCCGGCCTCAGAGACAGAGATTTCAGGATTCCAGTTTGGTCATTGCTACGTCCCGAGTGCCTAGAACAGGGTCTGGAATATTGGAGGTGTTGAGTGTTTGCTGAATGAATGAGCACATAAATTCCCATGGAAGAGAGCTCTCCTCTGGGTGTGGGTAGGGTCTCGGCCTTCCTTCTTTGACCCAGGGAGACCAGGTGATGGTGTCATTGCCCTCCCCTCACACCCAGGGCCATTGCTGACTCAGCTGCCCTCAGGCTTGGCCCTGAAGGTCCCTGAAGGGCGCAGCAGTAGCCTGAGCTGCTAACAGCAGCTTCTGAGGAGCCCTGACCTGTCATCTTTGCACCCCTGGGCCTGGGAAAACCCAGCGGGTACTACATACTTTCCCTCAGCATACTGCCTGAGCACTCTCATGTGCTGGGCACGAAACCCCCAGAGAAGACTGCCTCAGCCTCTGGCCTCCTGGCACTTGCTGCCAGGTAGGAAGGGTGGGCCTGCATTGAACAGGAATCCATAGGGCTGGGTGACAGTGAGTATGGGGGGGCCAGCAGAGAAGCTCCTTCAGCAGGCAGGGGCCACCTGCAGTGTGAGCAGGAGCTGTCCAGGTGAGAAGCTGGACCCAGCTACCCCATCCTGCACTCTAGTCCCGACTCTGCTCCTGGGCAAATCACAACCTCTGAGCCTCACCTTCCAGAGCTGTGAAATGGGAAGAAACCTCCCTGTGGAGCTATGGTGGAGGGTGTGTGGGAGGGCACCTGTGCCAGTGGCTGGTAGCCCCTTCTTCCCTTCCAGCCTCCTGGGATCAAAAATTCTGGGCAGGGATTTCCTAATCTGTGGAGCTGGAATGGTAGGCAGGAGGGTCTGCAGGCCCTCTCAGGTTCTCAGCAGAATCAAAAGGGGCCCCACGGCAGCTCGGGGAGTGGCACAGGAGAGGTGCCCTCAGTCCCAATACAAGGAGTCACCAGGGCCACCTGTTACAGATGTGGATGTGCCCTCACCAGGCAAGGACACAGCAGCTTCTCTGTTTCCTGGAGGCACCCCAACCCATGGTGTGTGGGTGGAGGGGCTGTGTGGCTGTGAGTATTCATGCCTACCTTCTTCTGGAGCCGCAGGGCTGTGTCCACAACACAAAGAGCAGGAGCTTCTAAGGGCTCCACAGGGGCTCTCAGTACCCTGTGTCTAGGAAGAAGAGCAGGGGAGCAGAGGGGTCAGTGACCCAGGAGAAAGCGGGGCACACCCACCTGATGTTCTCCCTCACCCAGGACCTGTTTTCAATACTCCCCTGCTGACACACTCCACACCCCACTAGGGTCCCCGGGAACCGGGCCTCAGGCCTTCATTGTCCCCCTGGGTCCTTTTCTTTTCTTTTCTGTTTTCTCTCTCCCTCCCTCCCTCCCTCTCTCTCTCTCTCTCTGTCTTTCTGCCTTTCTTTTTTTTTTTTTTTTTTTTGAGATGGAGTTTCACTCTTGTTGCCCAGGCTAGAAGCAGGATCTCAGCTCACTGAAACTTCTGTCTCCCGGGTTAAAGTGATTCTCCTGCCTCAGCCTCCTGAGTAGCTGGGATTACAGGCATGTGCCACCACACTGGGCTTATTTTTGTATTTTTAGTAGAGGTGGGGTTTCTAGTCAGGCTGGTCTCAAACTCCCAACCTCAGATGATCCAACCGCCTCGTCCTCCCAGAGTGCTGGGATTACAGGTGTGAGTCACTGAGCCCGGCCTCCCCTTGGTCCTTTTTATGTTCACTGCCTTGATTCTCTGTAAGGACAGGGACCGCCTCGTTTGCTCCCCCAGTGCCCCAGTGCCCTAGCTCCCCTGAGGGCTGCCTGCAGGGCTCTGAGCCCATTGTCTCCCTTCTTGGGGTCTCTTCTTTTCCCTGTGTGAGGTGGTGATAATAGGGGTGAATGTGGCTAGGGCTGAAGGAGGTGGGTTTATAATGGGACTGACAGTGGAGGGGCCCTGCACCTGGGCTAGGTGAGGCCCAGCCCTCCCTCTGTGTCATCCTACTGTTCCTCCTGCTGTCATCCATTCCTCCTTCCCCTTTACCCCATCCATTCATCCATCTGGCTGGCAAAAACACACAGGGTGTGAACCAGGTGCCAGGCACATGGTGATTGCCTATAGTCAGCCACCAGCCCGTATGGGCACCATCTCCCTCATCCTCATCCAAGTCCTTGGAAGGCAGAGGATTGCCATGAAGACCAGGCCCAAGCTCACATCAGGCAGCTGGACAGGGGTGCAAACCCAGGCCTATGGGATTTGGAAGCCCCCAGCTCCTTCCAGGGGATCGCAGAGGTAGGTCAGAGAATCAGGGCTTCAGCCAGGGGCTCCCTCATAACTTTTGGGGTCATCACTCCTTTGAGAATGTGATGATAACTAGCTGGTTGTGGTGACTCACACCTGTAATCCCAGCACTTTGGGAGGCTGAGGCAGGAGAAATGCTTGACCCTGGAGGTGGAGGTTGCAGTGAGCAGAGATCGTGACACTGCACTCCAGCCTCGGTGACACAGTGAGACTCCGTCTCAGAAAAAAAAAAAAAAAAAGATGGCCAGGCGTGGTGGCTCATGCCTGTAATCCCAGCACTTTGGGAAGCTGAGGTGGGTGGATCACACAAGAGATCGAGACCATCCTGCAACATAATGAAACCCCGTCTCTACTAAAAATACAAAAAATTAGCCGGGCGTGGTGGTGTGTGCCTGTTGTCCCAGCTACTTGGGAGGCTGAGGCAGGAAAGTTGCTTGAAACTGGAAAACGGAGGTTGCAGTGAACCGGGATAGCACCACTGCACTCCAGCCTAGTGATAGAGTGAGACTCTGTCTCAAAAAAATAAATAAAAAAAATATCTTACCTTGGATTCAGAAAAAATAAATAAATACATAAATAAATAAGAGAACGTGATGAAAACTAAAACCCTGTACCTCTAAAGGTATATTATACATGAGCCAAGTGCTCACATACACGAGGCTCCCACAAGAACATACATGCACCTGGCTAGTTCTATAGAAGTCCACCAAGCCATGATGCCTGTGCACGCTGAGACCAAGGGCCCGAGTGAGCTCTCTCAGGTCACCTTCCAGAGGCATCTAGGGGCCGTCCCTTTCCATATGCAGGTGGGGCCCTGGCACAGCTGCAGGCCAGGGCTCCCTGAAAAGGCTGGGTCCTGCTTTGCCAACATTGGCAGAGAAGGCAAATCATTCTCTATTTCCTTTTTTTTTTTTTTTTTTAAGATGGGGTTTCACCATAATGGCCAGGCTGGTCTTGAACTCCTGACCTCAGGTGATCCACCCACCTAGGCCTCCCAAAATGCTAGGATTACAGGCTTGAGCCACCGCCTTTTTTTTTTTTTTTTTTTTTTGAGATGTAGTTTCGATCTTGTTGCCCAGGCTAGAGTGCAATGGCATGATCTCAGCTCATGGCAACCTCTGCCTCCCAGTTCAAGCAATTCTCCTGCCTCAGCCTTCTGGGTAGTTGGAATTACAGGCATGCACCACCATGCTGGCTAATTTTTTTGTATTTTTAGCAGAGACGAGGTTTCTCCATGTTGGTCAGGCTGGACTTGAACTCCCGACCTCAGGTGTCCCAAAGTGCTGGGACTACAGATGTGAGCCACCATGCCCGGCTTTCCTTCCTTTTTTTTTTTTTGAGACAGAGTTTTGCTCTTGTTGTCCAGGCTGGAGTGCAATGGTACGATCTAGGCTCACTGCAACTTCCAAATCCTGGGTTCAATGGATTCTCGTGGCTTAGCCTTCCGAGTAGCTGGGACTATAGGCACCCACCACCATGCCCAGCTCATTTTTGTATTTTTAGTAGAGAAGGGTTTCACCATACTGTCCAGGCTGGTCTCAAACTCCTGACCTCAGGTGATCTACCGCCTTGGCCTCCCAAAGTGCTGCGATTACAGGCGTGAGTCACTACACTTGGCCCCATTCTCTATTTCTGGTCTGGAGTCCCAAACTGCTGGTTGAAATCTCTGGGTCTTTTGCCCCTGGAAGAGCCACAGAGAAAGCCTCACCTCTGACCAGGATGAAGGTGCCACTGCCTGTTGCCACAGGGTGTGGCCTGTTGACAGAGCAGTAGTAGGTGCCAGTCGCTGATGTGTCCAACGGCACAAGGGTGACCAGGCAGTTTAGGGCATAGGTCTGGTTCTCTATGCCCAGTCCAGGGTGGCAGTTGGTTGGCTTCTCAGGGCTCCTTCGCCCATGGAGGTCTTCATGAAAGTAGCTGACTGTGAAAGCCTTAAATTGGGGGGTGTACGGGTAGCTGATCCTGCAGCTGAAGGAGACAGCTGAGTTAGCCAGGGAGGCCACGATGGGCAGGCTGCTGTGGGTCACTGACTGTGAAAGCCTTGAATTGGGGGGTGTACGGGTAGCTGATCCTGCAGCTGAAGGAGACAGGTGAGTTGGCCAGGGAGGCCATGATGGGCAGGCTGCTGTGGGTCACTGACTGTCCTCCTGGAGGGGAAGCAAAGGGAGAGAGGGACAGGTCACTTGAGGCTGCCTCAGTCCCACCCACCTGCAGGTTAAAACAAGGCTTGTGGCCAGGCATGGTGGCTCATGCCTGTAATCCCAGCACTTCAGGAGGCTGAAGGCTGAGACAGGCAAATTACCTGAGGTCAGGAGTTTGAGACCAGCCTGGCCAACATGATGAAAGGAGAATCACTGGAACCTGGGATGCGGAGGTTGCAGTGAGCTGAGATCATGGCACTTCACTCCAGCCTAGGTGACAAGATCGAGCTCCATCTCAAAAAAAAAATAAACAAAAAACAAAAGACAAGTCTCATGCCTTCTGTGCCCCTACCTCTGCAGCTGCAGCTTCTGCCTCTCCTGCACTTGCTGTGTGTCGGACTTGTGCCAGGCACATTACACACACCGCTCTGCCTCTCCTAATATATCCGTAGGCAAAACGAGAGCCCCTGTTTTGCAAAGGGAAAGAGTCTGAGGGTCAGGGAGCTGAAGCACCTAGCTCCTGATCCCTCAGCAGGTAGAGAGCGGAGCTACAATGCCATTCAGGCCTGGGAGACACCAGAGCCTGCTCTCCTAACCCCTCTCCTTCCCGAAGTCCAAGAGGCCACCAGGCCTGAGAAGAGTGAAAGCTGGTGACGGATGGGAAATAACAAAGGAAGCAAGAAAATGAAAGGAAGCAAGAGTTTTGTCTGCTGCACAGGTGGTAGAAGACAAAACTCTCCTGGACTTGGAAAGGATGTGTCAGGCTTTTGGGTTTTGTTTTTTTTTTTTTTTAGATGGAGTTTCGCTCTCGTTGCCCTGGTTGGAGTGCAGTGGCACAATCTCGGCTCACCTGGCCTCACTGCAACCTCCCCTCCCAAGTAGCTGGGATTACAAACATGCACCATCACACACAGCTAATTCTGCATTTTTAGTAGGGATGGAGTTTCTCCACGTTGGTCAGGCTGGTCTGAAACTCCCGACCTCAGGTGATCCACCTGCCTCAGCCTCCCAAAGTGCTGTGATTACAGACATGAGCCACCGCGCCCAGTTAGGTTTTTATGTAGTATAACAGGCAACATCCTGAGAGTGGTTTTTCCAACACCGAAGAGGTGCTCCACGTTTCGGCTGTGATCATGATGTCAACGGACCGTGACAAGGCCAGTTTTGCAGGAGGCACCCCTCCCCCCCAGTCATCAGAGGCACTTCAGAAAACAGTTTGAAAATTCGCAAAGCAGCAGCCCTCCCTGGGGGGCCTCTAACCCCTGCTGCAGGCCTCTGAGATGCTGTTTGGATCCTGGGCTGGGGCGGCAGCCACCCCCTGCCCCAGACTTCAGCCGCTCAGACCCCTCAGCTTCAGCGCTCCCAGGCGCTCCAGGCCCCGCCTTCTCTAGCAGCTGAGCAGCAGACAGTTTTAAACTGAGGTCAGCAGCCAGCAGCCAGCAGCCAAGAACATGCAGGCCGCCTTGTTACTTGGGCGTAGATAGTGTGTTTGAGATCCTCAGAGGAGCCGCAAGATTTATTTTGTTGGGGAAAATGAGGTGCAGGTGCTGCCTGTGGTGTGGGGCTGGAGTGAGGCCAGACTGACTTCCCAGGTCTCTTCAGTTCAGCTCTGGCTCTGGGAAAAGGGTCCCAAAAGGGAGGTCAGCCTTCTGGAAGATGCGGGACAGACAGACACATAGTCGGCCCTGCGCTTCAGTTAATTCCTCAAAACTTTGGCCACGCTGATATTTTGAGCTTCTTATTGAGCCCCTAAAGAGACATCCCCAGGCTGGGCAGAGTGTTTCATGCCTGTAATCCTAGCACTTTGGGAGGCACAGGTGGGCTGATCACCTGAGGTCAAGAGTTCAAGACCAGCCTGGCCAAACATGGCGAAACTCCATCTCTACTAAAAACACAAAAATTAGCCAGGCATTGTGGTGGGAGCCTGTAATTCCAGCTACTTGGGAGGCTGGGGCAGGAGAATGTTTGAACCTGGGAGGCGCAGGTTGCAGTGAGCTGAGATTGTGCCATTGCACTCCAGCCTGGGCGACAAGAGCAAGGCCCCATCTCAAAAAAAAAATTTTGTATGAGACAAGAGGGGTGGGGTGAACAAATGACATTGACCCTACAGCTCCACACAACACTCACAGGCCACTTCCCCCTCTGTGCCCCTACCCCATGTCCCCCTCAACCTGTGACCTCCATTTCCTCACCGGGGCCTCCTTCTCCTCCTCACAGTGTAGCTAAGAAGCCACTCCAGGGGGAGGACAGATACACAGTCAGCACCATGAAACCTTCCTGTTTCTCCTGGGCAGGAAGACTTCAGACCAATTGACTTTAAAAATTCTCTCTGTCCAAAGTATCCTTCTAGAAAATAATGAACTCTGCTATCGCAATTATGCCGATATTTATAATTCCAGGGAAATCTATAAAAACGGATGGCCATCGTTCTGTCTTCTTTTGGGATTTGTTATTTTAAGGTCAGAGTGTCAGGATCATGAAAACGTTCAGCTCTGGCTCAGGTCTGCCACAGCGAGGAGAGGTTTTGAAGCAAGAACCTCAGACCTCTGATGAAACTGCTGTCTCTAAAAAGTGAAGAGAGGAAGCAGTCTCCCATCAGTAACAACAGCTGGTCTGGAGACATCAGGCCAAAACCCAGGGAGAGGAGAGGAAGCCTGCAGGTGCCGCCAAGGCCTGCCAGGTTCTGGACTTTGGATGTAGCTCACCGCCTCCCCTGCCTTCCTTTTACTGGGCGTCAGTACCCCTGAGCTGGACCCCTGCAACTGCCCAGCTCCCAGCCCATCTCCTGGCCCTGTGCCTCCCAGAGGCCCCTTCAGCAGTGCAGGCCATAGAAGTCCAGGCCCTAGCTGGCTGCCTACTAGAGGCACTTCCCCATGACAGCTCAGTGCTGAAGATAGGTTTCATGGCCATTTCCAAGTCCACAAATGCTTTTCAGCTGTCATTTGTTTGCAGCACTTCCGTGGGGGTCCTGTACGGCCATGAACGTGCCCCACGGGACTCAAGGCCAACTCTACAAGCACCCGGAGCCCAGGGCCAGCCTCCCATGTGCCTGACATGACAGGTCTTTTCTGCCTCCACCAGCTTGATGGGACGGACAAGGAGGGAGTCTGGGCGGGAAAAAGAAGAGGGACCTCGCCCCTCCCCCTCACACAGGACCCGGGTGACATGGAGAACCACTTCAGCATCAGAGTTTGAAGTTTCATCTGTTACACAGGGTTAGAGATGTGAAGAACTGGGACTCATGTGTGACTTTCGTTGACCTTTGGACTTTGACTTGGAGGAACTAGGTTTTGCCGGGAGAAATTCTCCAACAACAAGGCATCTAGAGGGCCCAGGACCTGCTCCTGCTGCTTTTCTGGTCATTCTCCAGGTCCCAGGGACCTGGGGCAGGTGGAGCTGGGACTGGCCCTTGGGCACAGGGAGGAAGTGTCTCAAGGAGCCCTAGGTGTTTTCTGTGCAGGGTGGATTGGATCCCAACCTTTTAGAGAACTTAGGAGGATTCTCCATTTGCCTGCCTGTTGGAGAGAGGGGCCTGGAAGTGGCTGCAAGGAGCTCCCCTGGGGAGGGTGAGGAGGGGCGGGTGAAGACATGAACTCCCCGGCCTGCCCTGCCAGGAGGGAAGGCTGCATGGGCAGGGAGAGTTTGGCTCTTGGGGAGTTTTCTGGATAGGAGCCTCTTGAGCCTGGTGAATGTGGATGGGATGGTGCAGGGAGAGGGGAGAGGGCACCCGGGTGAGGACCATGGGGGAGGAGGGGTGGAACAGGAGGGCAGCAGGGCCACCAGAGGCAGGGTTGCCGCAGGTATCTGGGAGGGCCCCGCCCCAGGGCTTGGCTATTTGTTCTGAGCCTTCAGGTCCTCCCCTGTGCCTCCCCACCCCCACACAGCTGCAAGCACAGACATCTGATCTGGGCAGCACCGTGCATCCCTGCTCAGTCTGCCCACCCTGCTATACTGCTATACCAGAGTGTGTTTTGGGCAGTACACTTTTCCCATCCCTCACTTCCCTGCAGCTCCAGGGAAGTTTCTCCCACAGGGGCGATGGGCACAGGTGTCTGGGGAAAGCCCAGGTTCTGGAGGCAACAGGCCTGGATTCAGCACCTGGCTCTGCCACTTCAAGGCTGTGCAACCTTCGGCAGGCAGCTTAACTTCTCTGACCTCAGCATCTCCCCACAACACAGGGAGAGCAACAATGCCAACCTTCAGGGACTGTGGCGGGATTCACTGGACCTGGAACCCAGCTGCTTGCCAAGAGCCAGGCTGCCTTTCTCCAGGGTATGAGAATGAGGCAGGGAGTCCTCCTTGAGGATTTTCAAAGGCAAATGCCAGCTGGGTGTGGTGGCTCAAGCCTGTAACCTCAGCACTGTGGGCAGATCACCTGAGGTCAGGATTTCAAGACCAGCCTGGTTAACAGGGTGAAATTCCATCTCTACTAAAAATACAAAAATTAGCCGGGTGTAGTGGCACACTCCTATAGTCTCAGATACTTGGGAAGATGAGGCAGGAGAATAGCTTGAACCCAGGAGGCAGCAGTGAGCCGAGATTGAGCCACTGTACTCCAGCCTGGGAAACAAGAGCTATCTCTGTTTCAAAAAAAAAAAAAAAGAGGCAAATTTGGGGGTTTGGGAAAGCCCTGGTTAAATGACACGCCCTTGGCACAGGGGACACAGGCCCTGATGGTCCAGGTGCAGCAGGACCCCCAGGGGCCTGTCCCCGACCCAGGCTGGGGCACCATCCCCATCCCGTGTGCCGGCCTGGCCCAGCTGAAGTCCCTTCTGTGGTGTGGTATTTGAGGGCTCTGGACATGAACAGCCCTCTGTCCACAGCTTCCAGCTCCTCTTCTCCCACCCTTGTTGGGAAAGACTTTGCCAACCGCCTGAGGGTGCCTGAGTCCTTCCTTTTCCAGTTCTTCTTATGAATCTGTGGCTGCTTGAACTTGGGGGTTGAGATCTGGGTGGAGTTACTACCCTCCCACCCCTGGCACAGGGACCCCATGCTGAGTGAGTCCCTGGTGGGAGTTTGTGTGCCCACCTGGCAGCTTTCCTGTGGCTCACTGATGTTCAGGATCAGACCTGCCCACTGCCAGTACATGCCCCCCACCCCTCCACCTCAACAGCTCCCATCCAGCCCCCTCTCCTGCCCAACCGGGGCTGCCTCTGTGGCTCTGAGCCCCTAGCGATCCACAAACTCATCCTGCTCCTGCCCTTCCTAAACTGGCAGAAGCTCTCTGCTGGAGAAGACCCAGGAGTCTGAAATCAATGTACAGGGTCAAGACAAGCAATTAAAAAAAAACAGAACACGAAGCGTAGTAAGGACACTGTTTGCGACCTTCTGGTTTCAGTTATATTCATACAATTGGGTTCAGACGGGGTCACACTAAAACATGCATCTCTTAACTTTGGGCCACTGCTAAACAAATGGAAAGTCCCTGGCCTGGAGGATCCAGTTCCTGCCTCACAGGCCCTGCACAGCCCTGCTCTCTGGCCCTCACTCGCCTGCTCCCATGTAGAGGTTGAGCTGCCATGATCTGGCGCAGTCGCCTGTGCCATCCCAGCTGCGGGGATGTCTTACCCACTCCTTACTCTCCTGGGCTTTGGGGGTGGGGCCCTGTCTGTCTCCAGGACTTCCTCATTTCCTTCCTGAGTCACTCCTGGGTGTCTGGCTTCCTGCACAGCACAGCCTCTCAGGCATTGCTGTTATGCCATGTGATCAGAAGAGCCAATGTCCCCTGGGAATGGTGTCGCCTTTTGCAGATGACAAAACTGAGTCTCAGAGGAGGGAAGATGTTTGCCCAAACAGTGGTGGTAGAGATAAGATTTTCAGCTGGGTCGCTTTGAGTCTGTAACCTCTCTCTCTCTCTCTCTTTCGAGATGGAGTTACACTCTTCTTGGCCAGGCTAGAGTACAGTGGCATGGTCTAGGCTCCCCACAACCTCCGCCTCCCGGGTTCAAGCGATTCTGTTGCCTCAGCCTCCTGAGTAGATGGGATTACAGGCATTTGTATTTGTGGTATAGATGGGGTTTCTCCATGTTGGTCAGGATGGTCTTGAACTCCCGACCTCAGGTGCTCTGCCAACCTCAGCCTCCCAAAGTGCTGGGATTACAGGCATGAGTCACTGCGCCTGCCACCCCACTGTTAACCATCATATTATACTATACTAAACTATACTATACAACAATTTTAAAACCTCAGACTGGGTGTGGTGGTCACACCTGGAATCTCAGCAATTTGGAAGGCTAAGGTGGGAGAATCTCTTGAGCCCAGGGCTTTAAGACCAGCCTAGGCAATATAGCGACACCCCGTCTCTACTCAATAAGTAAATAAATTAGCCAGGTGTGATGGCATGCCTGCAGTCCTAGCTACTCAAGGATCACTTGAGCCTGGGAATTCGAGGCTGCATTGAGCTATGATCATGCCACTGCACTCCAGCCTGGGTGACAGAGAGAAACCCTGTCTCAAAAAACAAACAGGCCGGGTGCAGTGGCTTTCCCAGCACTTTGGGAGGCTGAGGTGTGTGGGTCACCAGAGGCCAGAAATTTGAGACCATCCTGGCCAACATGGTGAAACTCTGTCGGTACTAAAAATACAAAAATTAGCTGGGCATGGTGGGGGGCACCTTTAATCCCAGGTACTCAGGAGAATCACTTGAACCCGGAAGGCAGAGGTTGCAGTGAGCCGAGATCACATCACTGTACTCCAGCCTGGGTAAAAGAGTGAACCTCCATCTCAAACAGACCCCTCAAAGCAAGCAAGAGAAAAAATTCTAAAAGGAAAGAAATATACTTTTTTTTTTTTTTTAGAGAGACAGGTTTTACCATATTGGCCAGGATAGGCTTGTCTCAAACTCCCGACCTTGTGATCCACCCACTTCGGCCGTCCAAAGTGCTGGAATTATAGGCTTGAGCCCATGCCCTGCCTGGAAAGAAATAAACTTTCTTAAAGGGAGTCAGAAGTTCAGAGGCTGTTTAGATAGACAGAGCCAGCAACATGCATCGGCCTGGGGACAATGCTAGTCGGAAATGGCCCTAAGCACTGGGAAACTGTTACCTCAGCTCCAGCAGAGCCTGCGGCTCCCCAAACAGAAGTGACCCCACAAGCCCTCTACAGACTGGTCCTGTGACAGGGTGAGGTGGCTCATGCCTCTTTCTAATCCCAGCACTTTGGGAGGCTGAGGCAGGTGGATCACCTGAGGTCAGGAGTTGCAGACAGCCTGGCTAACATGGTGAAACCCAGCTCTACTAAAAATACAAAAATTAACCAGGTGTGTAGAAACATGCCTGTAATCCCAGGTATTCGGGAAGCTGAGGCAGGAGAATTGCCTGAACCCTGAAGGCAGAGGTTGCTGTGAGCTGAGGTCGAGCCACTGCACTGCAGCCTGGGCAACAAAAGTGAAACTCCGTCTCAAAAAAAAAAAAAAGATAAAAGAAAATGCTTCCATGGCTTCCTCTCACCCCCACCCACCATCCCCCTGGTCCCTCCCACCCTGCTCCAGCTGCCGAGGCTCCTCTCATCACAAGCCATGGGCCAGGGCTTCGGTCCTGGCTCCCCCTGCATGGAACTCAATCCCCATGTGGCATCGTGAGCATTGTCAGCCAAGGGCATGAGGGTCCAGACACGCTGATCAAAGGTATACGTTCCGACTTAGGTCAATTTTAAAGAAAAACACTTTGATTGCCCAGCTACAGAAGACAGCAATTCCCACGGTCTTTATTTTAGGGATGGAATTTGCCCTCCAATTTAATTCTGGCACCTCTTAGAGCTGTGCCTTTTTAAAGGCCCATCTGAAGGGCTATAATCGGGGCTGGCAGTTTAATGATAGAGCCCCAGCCATGTGCCTAAGCATGACTCCCAGGATGCCACAGACGAGTGGGCGGGCAGGACATAGGCATCAAATGTGAAGGCGTGTGGCTGCGTGGCTGGTGAGGGAGGGGCACGCCGCCTTTGAACAGAGACTATTTCCGAGCTTTTAGCACCATCGGCTTTGGAATGGCACCACTGGACAGCCTGTCACATCTTTCAGCGCCTCCAAATTACAGAGATGCATCAAAATGTGGCCATTTCCACAGCATGTCCACGGCTCGTTTTCATGCCTTTAGACCCCCAAACCAGGGCACACGGTGGCCACTCAGAATGTCCAGGATTTGGATCAGGAATAAGCCTCACAAGGGTCTATTGGTGTCTTTACAGCAGTGGCTTCCTTTTTGCCTGTTTTGAAAGTCCAGGCTGGGCTCTGTGGTTCATGCCTGTAATCCCAGCACTTTGGAACAGGAGTTCGAGACCAACCTGGCAAACATGGTGAAACCCCATGTCTACTAAAAATACAAAATTTAGCTGGGTGTGGTGGCAGGCACCTGTAGTCCCAGCTACTCAGGAGGCTAAGGCAGGAGAATTGCTTGAACCCGGGAGGTGGAGGTTGCAGTGAGCCGAGATTGGCACTCCAACCTGGGCAACAAGAGCAAAACTCAGTCTCAAGAAAAAAAAAAAAAACAGGAGACAATCCAATGCATCCCCTCATTTCCTCATTTCCCAGATCAGGATATGTGCCCAGAAGGGCTGCTACTACAGCCTCATTAATGGCAGGGCTCTGAGGGGCACCCTTGGGCTTTGTACTCTTGTCACCCTAACATCTTCCATCTTGTGACAACTTTCTAGATTAACTTAATGAATGCCACACGCCCAATAGCTCTAGCCCACACTGATGTTTACTCATTCATTCATGTAACAAACATTTATTGGACATGAGCCTCATATCAGACAGGCCCTGGGAACATACTGGTAAGCAAAACAGGCAGCATCCACATTTACAATCCAGTAGGAATGACTGACACAACACACACGACACTATGTATAAGCTAAATTCTAAATAAACTGAATCAAATGGAAAATTCTCTTTAAAAGTTGTTTTAAATAGTTAACATTTGCTCATCCTCAAAATGAACACTTTTTTGGCATATCTATAGTGCTACATATAGGCTGATGACAGTAATTTCTTTTGTGTGTGTGTGTGAGAGAGAGAGACCAGGTCTTGCCCTGTTACCCAGGCTGGAGTGCAGTGGTGCCATTATGGCTCACTGCAGCCTCAAACTACTGGCCTCAAGCAATCCTCCCTCCTCAGCTTCCCTCCTACCTCAAGCTCCCACACAGCTGGAACTATAGGTGCATTCCACTATAGCCAGCTAGTTTCTTTATTTTTTGTAGAGACAGGGACTCTTTGTAGCCAAGGCTGGTCTTGAATTCTTGGGCTCAAGCAATCCTCCTGCCTTAATCTCCCAAAGTGCTATAAGATCCACCATACCCGGCCTTACTTATTATATTATTACATTTGAATTTTCCTTCTCTTCCTTGTCTTAAAAAGACTTGACTTGGCAGGGCATCATGACTCATGCCTTTAATTCCAGCACTTTGGGAGGACAAGGCAGGTGGATCACTGAGGCCAGGAGTTTCAGACCAGCTCGGCCAATGTGGCAAAACCCTATCTCTACTAAAAGCACAAAAATGATCTGGGCATGTAGCACATGCCTGTGGTCCCAGCTACTGGGGAGGCTAAGGTAGGAGGACTGATTAAACCCAGGAGGGAGAGATTGCAGTGAGCCAAGATTGTACCACTGCACTCCAGCCAGGAAGACAGAGATCCTATCTCAAAAACAACAAAAACAAGTAAAACTAAAAACTTCACTTAGAAAGATCCCTTACATCACAAGGCTATACAACCCAGAGAAAATATTAGCAAATGATATATCTGATAGGGTACTTGTATCTAAAATATATAAAGAACTATTATAAATCAATAATAAAAAAAATTAGATAATCCTTTTTTGTTTTTTGAGACAGAGTCTCGCTCTTTTGCCCAGGATGGAGTGCAGTGGTGCAATCTCTGCCACCCAGGTTCAAGCGATTCTCCGCCTCAGCCTCATGAGTAGCTGGGAACAGGTGTGCACCACCATGCCTGGCTAATTTTTGTATCTTTAGTAGAGACTAAAAATACACCATGTTGGCCAGGCTGGTCTCAAACTCCTGACCTTAAGTGATCCACCCACCTTGGCCTCCCAAAATGCTGGGATTACAGGCATGAGCCACCGTGACCAGCCCAA